ATAGTCATGGCAAGGAGATCTTGATGTCGCCTGATACGTGGAGGCAGCTTGTCGAGTAACGAGACGTTCTCTTGAAGTATCTGCAGAGTATCAACGGAGAACCGTCCTTTCCAGCCCCGTTGGATATTGGAAATATGACCGTGCGTTTTGGAAAAATCAACAACTTGACGATATTACGCCTGGAAACATCCGTGGCTTGCCTGGCCATGTCGAGGGAAACAGTGAAAAATATGTTCGAGCTCGAGCATTGCATCAGTCGACTCGTTATCTCGTTGACCAAGATATTAGGAAAAATTAATGCGAAATTAGCACGTTTCAAGGATATTGCGTTAACCGCTAAGGATAAGGAAAATATCTCGAAAGTTATACGCGATAGCGATGCTTACGATCGTAACGACATTATCGATTGCGAACTTGTTGCTCTGTACTTTGGGATGTAAGATTGAGATGAAATAAAAGTGAGATATATCATAAACAATGTTTTGTGTATTTTCTCAAGCATGTATATAAGTATAGCGAGTGATAAAACAATTCGATTATAAGCAATGAATCTAATTATAATATATAAGCACTGAATCTAATATAATGATTACAAATTAATTTCAATTCGATTATAGTATAAGCAATGAATCTAATTATAATATAAGCACTGAATCTAATATAATGATTAAAAACTAATTTGACATATGATATAAGTCGTTAATGCGATATTACAATTCGGTGATACATTCCCGTCGTGTTGACCACCAGTTGTACAATTTGCACACGTTCTCCATTGCGCAATGCTTCGTGTGACGCTCGCAGTGAAATGCTCGAACGTCGTCCAGAGTGCTTAGGCGCCCTATATCTTCAAAATCCGCGTCAATAGTCTCGACGATCACGTTGTGATTCGCGATGATGTCGCAGCCGAGAATTTCCTCTAACCATTTCTTTTTCTCCAAGCCTTTGACGTACACTCGTTTAGGCGCGTCTCGTGATTGATCGCACACGCTGTTTCGAATCACGTTCTTCGAGAGTCTGTACGCGATGTCGCCGTCGCTCCACTGCAAGCCGTGATGATTGGAGGTTATCCAACATGCTTTAGATTTTTCCGTTTTTGTAAGAAGATTCCAAGGTATCGCTTCTCGAAATATTCGATGGGTCAGCTCTTTTCCATTTTTTAATATTGCCACCTCTTTAACCGTAAATTTTTCTCGAACGGTAAAACCTTGCAGATCGACGAAGATCGGTATGTTTGGCATCGCTCTCGTAGGAAAACCGTGATTACGTGAGTTTACGTACGACGTTCGTCAGTGGGTTATACTCTACAACTCTATCGTGAATGATGAGACAATAAGCCGTTGTGTTAGCCGGAACGTTCTCTTTGCATTCGAATTCTACGCGAACGT